GGCTGCACCGGCTTCCTGATACTCAGTCTTTCGTGACCGCTTCTGCCTCCCATAGCTGGTACTCTAGCCGAAGGGTGCTTTTCCGTGGTTTGGAGCCTCCACGCAGTCGTGTTGTTCCAGCACCCGTGTATCGGGCTCGTTTGGTGAGGCCCCATCGACCGCGTTATAACGCCATCGTGTAATTGCGATATGGTTTTGCTGTCTATGGTATTGTGCTCGCGGATTGCATCTGCATTGCCCATGTTATCGTGCTCTACAACGGCATCGTCCTCCACAATCGTGGTCACCACGAGCCCCCTTCCATTTCGTGGCTGGTCTGCCGTCCGTGCAATCGAATTCTAATGCGCTATTGTTCTCCGTGGCACGGTAAGCTCAGGTTCTACACTGATATAGTGCTCCGTGGCTAGGTGATTTCGCGTCTACAGCTCCAGTGGCCGCATTTCTATCATGGCTTAGTGTCTTGGCCACCGTCCAAGTCATCGTTTTATGTTGTGGTGTCAGCGCTGGTCTGCCGTCCGTTCTATTATGAGCTACCGTAGTATCGTGCTCCCTGGCTCGGTAAGATCCGGTTCTACCCTGGTATCGTGCTCAAATGCTCGGTGATTTCCCGTTTATGGTCTCCCGCGGCTTTATGCCTGGTCCGTCGACCGTGCTCCGTGCTCTACCGTGATGCTATGGGAGAATTGCTGTTAGTGCACTCTTACCGCTCCGTGCTCTTTCGTAGCCCGTGCTTTTCAGCATGCTGGGGTGTCTATGGATTTAGTTCCCTTCTGTCGCCCGTACGCTCCCGTCATATTCTTGTCGTTCTGTCCTGTTCATGGCTGCGTGCACTTCCATATTACACGCTACGTAAAACACTTCGTGGTTTGCATCGGCTAAGGCTTCGATCTTTCGTGCTTCGTGTTGCTCTTCTATCCCATCGTCTACATAGGGTGGGTCGATGTTCCTTCGGGCTTCGTGCTCTTGCTTAGTCACGTGCCTCCGTAAACACAATAGCTGTTCCCATTTTGTTTGATGTACGCTACATATATTGTTGGAAAGTTTGCAGAATATCTGAAGGTCGCACACTACGCGCGCAAATACAATGGAAGGTGACACTTTTTCCCGGAGGCAGTGTGTGGTGAGCCACAATAGTCATATTTTAAGTTTTTCACATTATTACTAATAGTAATAAAATTGTGATTTATTATCGAACGCTGATATAATAACTATGTGTACTACTACTACAAATAGCTGCAAGGAAAAATATGAAATGTATTGATAATAGTACTACTCAAAACATATTGTAAGTTTGATTTTTAGAAAAGTACTATGAAGCCTAGAATATCATTCTATATCCAATAGCCACTAAAGTTTCGATTGATGCCTAAATATAAGTCACCAGGACCTACAAAAATTTTCAACAGCTCTTCCGACGATATTGTATGTGTGTGCGTATTGGCGCCTTCTACCAATGCAAACTAACGCGCACACAAACAGCGCCCTTTGCGTCGAGAGGCGCTCCGCGGCTGAATATGAGAGCAAAATGAAATTTGAACGGTGCATATAAGTACGATGTGTAGACCACATATAATATATACACCACATATTGCGATTTTAGCCAATCGAGGCCGCCTTCGCTGCGCTCGGCAGCCAGTAGAACGCCCGCATTTGCGTTACATGAATTAACCCTAGCCGCGGACGGACTGACAGACACCAGACTCCACTAGGGGGGTAAGATAATAAATGAACTCACCGCTGCTGGATGTATGCAACAACACAAAGATAGGCTAATCAATAAACAGTACATATCTTATGTTTATTTATACAGCATAGTTGCATATGATCGTCTCAATGTACTACATAAACCCTCCTTTATGCTGGAAAATCCGTACTATACACACTGGCCAAGTCGTTCTTACCACCCCGAACCCGCGCCAAGATATCCGGACGTAATTGAATACCCATACAAATTCCTTTTATATCTGTATATGGGACGAGGTCAAAATATACCCTAATATTTTGAGGCCGGGAATTAAGGGGTTAAATGTCATTTAATGGGGACAACTATCATTCGATGGTAGTGAGCACAAGCTAAAAATAATATTTAGTAAAAATGCGTAACCTACCGGGCATTATTTCTGAGTCCCATTTCGCTTCTAAAGCTGTACACCGACGCTTACGGTGCCGGCACCACTGCTTGTGTCGATAGTAAACTCCGCACACAACGGGTTGGTGATATTGTCCGCGTACACATCGCACCACGTGTCCGGTTTCACAGCCACGACATACTTGCTGTCCTCCACGATGCGCTTCAGACCAGTGCCAATCTCCGGCTTGTACACCCCCCAGTCCTCCTCCGACAGTGAGAACGACACGTCCATGGACTCTCCAGCCTGCAGCTCGATCTTCTTAAACTTCTTGAGCATCTTCATCTCCGGCACCGAGATCTTGCGGAACGGCTGGATCAGGAACAACATCACCGTCTCCTTACCGGTTCGAGCACCAGTATTCGTGACAGTAACCGTGGCGGTGAGCGTATCCTCAGCATTGGCGACGGTGGTTTTGTCGAGCGTGACGGAGGAGTAATTAAACTTCGTGTAGCTGAGGCCAGCACCAAAGTGCCACTGCATCCAGCAGTTGTCCCACATACAACGCGTTGTGACGCGGTGGTTGTAGGGGATGGCGGTGTTGGCCGGGTCCTTCGGGTAAGTGATCGGCAGTTTGCCACTGGGGTTCACGTCTCCGTAGAGAATTTCAGCCATGGCTTGACCCCCAAGTTCACAGGGCAGCATGCCATCGATGATGGCCGCAGCGTTATCCGGAATTGAGCCAAGCAGACGCGGACGACCCTCAAATAGGACAACGACGACCTTTGTCCCCGTTGCAGCGAGTGCCTCAATGTACTTTTGTTGACCCTCAGGCAGAGTCGGATCGAAAATGTCACCAGCCTTTTCCGTGTAGTTGGGCTCCCCAATAACTGCGACGGTGTACTCATGTTGGCTGGCGAGCTCCACGGCCTTGGCAAGGTCGGCATTAGAAATCGACCCGTTCACCTGAAGCCCGTTGAAATACGTGAAAGAGTCGTTACCCACCAGGTTCTCCAAGCCCTTGCGGACGGTAATACCGTTGTTGAACATGTCGTTACCGGAGTAACCTTGCCAGATGAACGTCCAGCCACCGCACTGCAGTCCAACATTATCAGCTGAGTGGCCAGTGAGGAATACGGACGCATTTTTCGGCAGCGGCAACACATCATCTTCATTTTTCAGGAGTACGATGGACTCACGCGCCATCTCCAATGCAGTCTCCTTGTCCTTCTCATTTGCCACCATCGACACATACTCTTTGCCAGGCACCGGGTTGTCGTACAGACCGAGCTGGAGCTTCAGCTTAATGATTCGCTTGGCCGACTCACGCAGGCGAGTCTCCTGGTCAGGGTTCTCTTTCAGCATGTTCAGACCGTACTTGATGAAATCTGTGTCTGTAGCCACCATGCTCATGTCGATAGATGTTTGTTTCAAAGACGTCCCGACAGCTTCTTCACGAGTAGCCGACACGCGGTGGAAGTCGTGTAGATTGTAGATCTCGTTCCAGTCCGAGAGTAGAACGCCGTTAAACCCCAGATCCGATCGAAGGAGGTCGTTCAGGATCCTCGAACTGGCGACGACGGGGTCGCCGTTGAGGGAAATGTAGTTCTCCATCGTTGTCAGCGCGCCGGCCTCAAAAGCAGCCTTGAACGGTGGTAGGAAGTAGTTCAGCAGGTCAAAGTCCGGCATGTTCACATTGTCTCGGTCGTGCCCCGTGGGCGTCTTGGAGTACCCGACGAAGTGCTTGATGCACGCAGCCGTCTGGTTGTAGCTCTGAAGACCACGGACGAGAGCAGCGCCCATGACGGAAACCAAGTACGGGTCTTCGCCAAACGTCTCGTACGTGCGCGACCACAGCGTGTTTTGCGAGATATCCAGGATGGGGCCAAACACCCAGCTGATCCCAGCAGCCTCAGTGTCACGAGCAGTGATGCGAGCCACCTCGTAGACCAGGTCGGGGTTGAAACTAGCACCGCTGTTGATCTGCTGGGGCATCAGCACAGGCCCGTCCACGTAGTTGGCGCCGTGTACGGAGTCAATACCGTAAATGATGGGATGGCCTCCATTCTCCTCCATGGAGATGGTCTGGATACGCTGGATCAGCGAGCGGAACTCGGAGGCGTTGTAGCCGTAGCTGCCGTTCACGGGCCCGTCCCAGTACGTGTTGAGATACGAACCAACGTGCTGTTTAGCAAACAAACGCACCGCGGTCTCATTCAAAGTTCGTGTGGTACCGTTCATGACTGTAGCGAGGGTCAGCTGGGTCATCTGTCCCAGCAATTGCTCCGGGGAGAAGCCGTCTACGATAGCTTGAGCTTGGGCATCGAAGGCGTCGGCTGCAGAAACAGCGGACGTCAGCACTGCCACCGAACAAACGGTGGTCAACCAGGACTGAAGCATTTTCGCGACTCCAGTAAAGAGCGTCGTCGAGACACTGCAACTGAGCAGTGGGGAATTTG